GGAGGCGGGGGAGGCGGGCGAGGGGAGCACAGTGTCCCTTCCCATCTATCAGACAACAGGGGCCTCCACGCTACGCCGCAGGTCCTCAGCGCTATCTCTAGAAGCAGAGGAGGGTCTGGAGGACCTGCCTCGACCTGGCATACTGAAACCTCCCAGTCCGCACCTGCCTCGTGCCTCCAGCTTCCGCTCCCTATCCGAGTCAGGCCTAACGTCCTCCACCACCACAACCACCACAGGAAAGATGAACCGCTTCAGCTCCTGCGACTCCCTCGCATCCGTGACCTCCACCGCAAGTTCCCGCCGCCACTTGTCCAACCTGGCCATCCCTGAGGAAGGCGAGGAGGAGCCCAGCTCGAAAGCCATGCCTCCTCTTGGCACCTATCAACCAATCCGACGCCGTCTACTTGGTGGCCTGGTAGCAGAAACAGGAGAGTCGCAATTGGGGTTGGAACCACTTGTATTCCAGAATCGCAGACTCCTCGGGAATCAAGACAAGGAGAGGGCCGGAGTCGATGCAAGGGACACCAGCTCAGACATTCTCCCAGCCATCCGTCGAGCGCAGTCCACCAGCAGCCTGGCATCTAGCAGTTCCCGAACGGGCCAGAGACGAGCCCTCAGTGTGCACTTTGGGGAGTTGCCGCCCTCCAGAGCGTCACGTAGGGAGTCCGACTCGGACTCTTCAAGTTCTGGCGGATCTCAGAAGCGCCGTGGGCCTCAAGGAGAGAGGCTGGAAGCCGAGGGCAGCGAGGACGTCAACTCGGTGATGAAGAAGTACCTCAAAAAAGCAGAAGTCGACTAGAAGACTCAACGAGGTTGCTTAAAACTGCACTGGCCTGCTTTACATTTAAGGGGGTCATATCATGAGGAAGCTAATTTTCCTTGATCTTTTGAGTTTCTACTGAAACATACTATAACTTTGAGAACTCGAAACTTCTTCCCAGTCCAAATCCAGGGATATTCTGAAATCCGTGGATTTGTATTGTCAGAAACATAATTTGATCACCCATACATTGCACATCACAAACGTCAGTTTGGTGTTTAGAAGGAAGTTGCATTTTCTGTTGTTTAACAGTTTTTTTAGAATAATTATTGGAGGATATTACCTACAGTGTCTTTTCCTTACTGCGAGAAGCAGAAGTACCTTTAAGGTGCCAATATGCACTCTTTAGGTACAAAGGTGTACCTTTTGAAATGGTACCCCCCACAGTGACAGCTTTTGTACTTTTTATTCTGAGAGTGTATGCAAAGTGAATGTTTACATGTATTAAAGGCACAGCTGCAAAGAAAAAAAAAACAGTATGGAAAATGGTCACGAAAACTGTTTTTGCTTTTTTTTTTTTTTTTTTTTTGTGTATGACCCCTTTAAATGACAAAAGAAAAAGAAAATTGAGCAACATGAAACTAAATTGAATTGTGAAAGGATGTGAATCATTTAGTCACTCTCTTTTTTCTTTCCCCTGACAGGATAGATGAAGACATGGAGAATTGACTCAGTCCAGAATGCATTGAGGCACATTTAACTGGAAGCACAAATACACTGAGGATTTATTTTGAGCACTGTTTGTACACAAAGATGTTAAAGTGAACGCATGAAATTCCTAAAATTCTCACTGTAAACATGCCCTTTATTCGAGCCGTGCTGATACCCACGGGTGCTTCAGGTCAGGGAAATGAATCTTGACCAGTGAGAGCTCGCTTTCCCTCTCAGCAGTCAGTGCAAATTTTTTGAACTCCAACAGATGTAAATAAAAACGTCGAGCAGAATCATTGGTATTTGCTTCGACCTTTCAAAGGAGAGGAACAGCATTACATTCACAGAGGAAAACAACTGAAATAGAGCCGTTTTACAAAGCAGTGATTGTGCGTACAAAGCAGAGGCTCTCCATAATAATTGAGACTGACCTGGTTTCTGCAATCCAATCATTAACCTAGACTTATTTGCCTAGGAATGGAGTAAAGAAAATAGTTTGTACTTAATTGCCAGAGCAGCATTTGAAGCTGCTAAACACAGTGTCCAAATGCTTTGTAATTTAATGTGCTTGGTAAGCATAAACAGGCTAAAGGAATATTCCAGTTTCAGTTATACTAAATTGCAGCATTTGTGGCATAAATGCTGGATATCGCAAAGAATAATTTTGACTGGCTCTCCTTAAAGTTACAATGAGGCACTGAAGATGGAAGTTAAAGAGGCCAGTTTGGGAGGTTATAAAAATCAGAAATGTGAAACTTTTTAAAAGCTCTTCAGTTCTGCTAAAACTGTACTTTTAACTGTAAGGTCATTCAATGTGGTCATTACCAATATGCCACAAGTGCTGTAAATTGAGCTTAACTTTAAAGTTAAGGCTCAATACATGATAGATCTACTCACTGAAAGCAGCACATTACAGTGATTTTACCACAGTAAGATTTTTCTTAATCTTTACCTCTGGTAAATCACTAGTCATTCATATTTAGGGGTATATTTCATGTCAGCCAAAAAGTCAGAAAATCAGTATTCTTTTTTTTTTATAAATAAATTAGGTGGTTGAATAATATATCCCCTTAATGTGCTAAATTAATTGTTTGACAAGCTTAAGGTCTAATGACTTTTTTTTTTTTTGATTCATTATTTTGTCAACTGTTATGGACAAATGTTGTGTCAAATGAAACATGAATGAAATCCCACATGTTTGATTACACATTTGTTTGAATGTTTTTAAGTCTATTCACCAGTTTTTGAGGTTATCTGTCTAACTGATTTGAAAATATGAATTTGGGGCTTCATAATGGGCATTCTGTGGGATGGTATCATGAAGGATGATACTTTTCTTTAACGTAAATCCACAGTATGCTGAATTTAGTGTTATTCACCATCTTTACCAAAGTCATCCATCTCCAGAGATATCCCCATCTTTTTTCTGACGGATTAGTTCACATTTAGAAGATTTATAACATAAAAACCACACATAACACAGTTGACAAAGTAACACAGTTGACAGGTAAGAATGAACTTAGTATCCATAAAACATTTTAAACATACACACATTATAATAATATACGTATATTATAACGTTAGTTAATATATTATATTATTATAAAGGTAAATTAAGTTTTATAATGCATCATGACACTTCAAGTTGTAAGGACTTATACAATAACATCATAACACTTTATCAGTCATGACTAAGCAGAAATAGATATATGCCAAATCTATAATATTATATAGGTTTATGTCAATCATGAGGAATTCTGAATGCTTTTTAACCCTTGACAAATGTGAATATGAGTATATAATATTATGGATACAGAGTTCATAGAAAGTGTGGCCGTGATTAGATCAGTTAAGTTTATCCATTGTTTTCCATGGTTTTAGGCAATTCCTATATAATTTCTGTGTAATGACAATAGTTTGTGAATATTTATTTTTATCAACACTCAGTGGGAGCATAAATTGACACTGAATTGCCAACATTGTCAACTGTGTTACAGTTGATAGGTAACACAGTTGACATTTCGGCCATTTTAGGGCCTTGTGCAAACTGCTGACCTTGGAATAGTTAGTACATGACCTTGATTAACTTTTTTTATATTCTTTCTCTACATATTTATAAATATAACATGTGACGCAAGTTCACCAGAACATGTTGATAACAGTTGACGGTCAATGAATCTACTCTATGTGCAGACAATCTAGATGATTGTCTGCAGGAGAAGTTGAGAAGTTATGACTTTCCACACGGTCTTCAAATTTCCCTCCAAAAAAGGAAAATACATCATGTGATGTTGAAAATTGTGTCTTTGGAACAAACCATTGCTGATTTATAGGGGGTTTTATAGGGAGTAACACAGTCGACACCGATTTCTCAGACATACACAAAATGGATTTAATGTAGAGGAGCAAAATATATTTTTTTAAATACCTTTCTCATAATGTTGATTTTGGACAAATATTTATAAAAAAAAATATACAGAAATATTTTAGAGATAATCTGAAGAGCAAAACCTTAGTTACCAAATTGGACAGCACAAAAACAGCTAATTCCAGTATAGAATATGCCATTTTTGCAAGATAAAAGAGATATGTTGGATTTTTGTATTAAATTAATTAGAAATGTCCCGATATAAAAGTGATCATTGTTTGAAGTGAAAAGTTATTAAAATTAGTAAAATTGATAGAGTCCATGGATATGACATGTACCCCTAAATATAGAACGACTCTATAATGCAGTGCCTCGGATTTAAATTGGTGCTTCTGTCGCATTAAGACGACAGCTGCAGACATTTTTGTGCCAACGCAGTCATACTTTCTTCCACAGACAAAATGCTTTGAGAAAATGAGACAAGTTTGCCTTCCCCTCTAACGGTTTTATTGACAAAGCATAACTACAATGGGACCATGGTGAGAAATTTGAGCTCCCAACTCAAATGTCCAGCAGCGGCCTTCTGGGAACGTGCCGCTTCCCATCCACATCTGCAATAAGAACATGATCAATGCTCGAGTCTCTACATGATCAGATTTGTATGTCATCTACAAGTCCTTGCCTGGTCACACCTTCGCCTTCCGTCCCCTTCCTTTACCCTGAAAGAAACAATGTTATTCATTTTTGCATAGCTTTAGAAAAAGAAAAACCTTCAAGAATAAAAAAGGTACCTTTTTAGGTGGATTGTCACCATCTGAGGCTTCCCTGCATTTACAAAACACTTGATTAGTTTGCTTTGAGAAATGAAAGGAGGACAAACAAAATTAAAATGTTAGATTTAACTTACTCATCCTCTCCCTTTTCTGGCTTCTTTCTCTTTGAAGATAAAAGGGAGCAGTGAGAATTAGAACAAATTTATTTGAAACAACTTGTGACCTACGAGACGAAGCCTTACTTTGCCAGCACCATTTTTTGTGACTTTCTTAACCGGTGATACTTCAATATCTTCCTCCTCTTCTTCTACCTCCTCATCCATCTCTTCATCCAGCTCTTCATCATCGGAGTACTCCTCCACTGGGAGAGATTTTGGCACAAGTCCCATTGACTTAAATACCAACCACAGACAGTAGCTAAAAATGGAGCTGAAAGGACCACTCACAGGCCACATGTTCCGCTCCGACATACACAGGCCCAGAGCCGTGCTTCAGGCGAAAGGTCACGGGTGGATGAAGATCCAATCCAGACAGGTTGACCTGATGGAGAATGAAATCTCATGAGGTATATACACAGACTTGTGGAGGTGAAATGTGATCACTGTAGCTCTATTCAAAGTACATTATAGAAGACTCCATAAAAATATAGTTTCACAACATTTTTCAACCCCCTGGTGCTGCTTGCATGGTCATCAAATTACTGATTTTTTTTTTATTATTTGAATTAAATGAACGTACTATATTTTAGCTCAATAAGGTTTAGTCATTTGCATTTTTAGGGGAATTTATTGTGCCATTTATGGAATAGTTATGATCTATTACCCGTTAACCGCTTTGAGCATAGATCTGAAAATTAGGTTTCCAACTTAAAGGATGAAAATCTTGACACATTATCACTGAACTGAAAATTATTATTAAACGGCAACAAACAAAATAAATCTTTATGAAAATTGCACAAAAATACTGTTTTATGGAAACACATACATATACATTTATTTATTTATTTATTTAGTCATTTAGCAGACGCTTTTATTATATATTATATATAGTTAGACTTATATATACACACATACATACATACATACATACATACACACACACACATACATATATAATTTTTTTTTTTTTTTTCCAAAACATGTTTTAGCCTAATCTAAAACGGCGTGACAAATCAGAGCCATAAATCTAAGCAACTGTGTTCCAAATTTGAGGTTGATATCACAAAAAAAAAAAAAAAAAGAAAAAAAGTGAGCTTTCAGTAAGGTTTTGCTTCCCATTCATTTCCAAAGCTGTCATTTTTCACCATATACACTTGCGACTATTTTACCTAAAGTCTAAATAAAAATACAAAATAAAAAAAACGAAGAGCACCAGAGGGTTAAATTGAAACCGGTAATTAGGGTGAAAACGGACAAAAAAAAAAAACACTTAGCGAAAATGTTACTTAGAGAGGCATTGTGTGTATTTTAGCGAGCTAACGTTTGCACAGAAATATCACATGAAAGCGAATATTTCTTACCGTAGGCATAGATTTAGCGTGTAGCGTTGCTATGGGAACCGCTTTCGCGCTGCTGTTGCCCTCACCAGTGACCAACTCGACAATATTGAACTCATCTTTAGCAGTGTGACCCAGACACATCTTCAAATCAAATATTAATGGGTTAAATGCAATAAACACCTATTAAACGTCGCGTTACCTCGACAATCACTGAACCAACCGTTCTCAGTGCCAGCTGGTGTTGATGGTTCGTATCATCCGTCTTGAAGGACTCTTCTTTATTAGATTCATTGAGTTCACAACCTGAAACAACGAACGATTTAATATAGAATATTAGTACGTTTTGAATTATATTTTATCTGAAGACACGGAAAGTGTAACATCTTACCCCAAAGAGTGGATAATGGTTTCTCTGTTTTGCTCATTTTGAAACAAAAACAGAAAACTGAAAGGCACATACAGTAAATGTTTATTAGCCAATATAATACGCAGTATGTAATGTAAATTATTCAGAAATTCGTCACATATTCTCACCAGAAATAAATCTCTTTCTAGGACAGCAAAAGAAAAGAAAGAGTGAGTTTGCGCCCTGTGAACGTTAAAAGAGGAAGTTAATTGCTCATCAGGTGACAGTAATTAAGTCAGGATCACTGCAGGTTAATTATGGATCCGACCTGCTGTATGAACCTGCTGAAAAATCACTTCTTTATAATCATGTTTTAATCGAATAGAATTAAGCTGACTAATAATTATGCATACTAAATATGTTGTCTTTTATGTTATATTAACCTCTCTTATAACCGGGGCTAGTTGTCACATAGGTACGTTTTCGCAAGGTCTGCAATTAAGTGCTTATTTTCAATAGCAGTGGTTTAATTTACTTTATAAGCCTAGTGTAAATAAAGAGCCAAATTATGATCATGTTTATGAAGTAAAGTTTAAAACAAACAAAAAATAGAATAGCATCAAGTTTTGTCGTGTTGTTGGGTTAGGAAGCGAAAAAAGCATGCTTTAAAGAAAGAGTTGACTATAATAGAGGTATATTATAGTTTTGTAGGCTAATAGTTATTTAGTCAATAAGTGAAACTTGCATACATTAAGGAAAGAGTTGACTAGGCTATATATATATATGTGTGTGTGTGTGTGTGTACTTTGATTACATTTTATAAACGGATATTTTGTGCAATGATTTTCAAATCAGTGTAAAAATAAATAGCAGATTCCCATTGACATATATTGTCACAAATCTGCATCTGTATAAATGTGAATTTTATTTATTTATTTTTGTATTCAAGACTTTTTGTGTTTATATATACTGTAAATCAGGCCTTAGAAATATTCACTGTAGTAAAAAGTGTGACAACTTGCCCCAGTCTCCCAAAAAGATCCCTCAAATCAATTATTCGCATGAGATAAAGCTGTGCCTATGAACTCCTTTCATAATTCATGCATTTTACACTAAATAATTAATTAAACAATGTCTATTTTATAGCTGCTATACAGCTGAATTTCTCTCATATTTGAAGAAGCCTGCATCATTGATTCTTATTTTCCTGTTTATTACTGTGAAGCTGCTTTGAAATGATATGTTATACAAAGCACTATATAATAAAAGTGACTTGACTATTTTTTTTGTGTGTGACTCAATTCAACATGTGAGCCAGATGTGTATTTCAGTCGTTTAACTTCTATTTGCCATGGTTGTTTATGTATCTCAGATCCCCCTCAGTTCCATATGTGCTGCACTCTCATTCTGTCGTGTGATCTATTATTAACAGATCTCCATGCACCGGATCGCTCAGCCTGTGAATTACGGAGCGGAGAGAGAACATGGGCTGTGAGTTTGACCGCCACTCCCCTGGGTTCCACCACCAGCCCCTTGCCGCCATCAAAGACCACGAGCTGCCGAATGAAAAGAAAGTAGAGGAGGGGGGCCGAAGACGCCATGAGGACAAAGAAACTGGGATATTACAAGGTGTGGGGGTGATGGGTAAATCAATATTATATATACAAATATTATATATTGACGTTAGGCAGAATTATGAGCTGTGTCTGTAATATAACTTCATAATTTTCTGTGTCTGCACACCTGTGCTCACCAGAAGAGACCGAATGACATGCGAAAAATAGAGGCGAATGCCTTGTAAATGAAATGTGAAGCCACATGGGAGCTCCACTCACACAATCTCAGCTCCTGACGGCGTATAGGATGGTTTAGAGAGCGCGTGGGAGGGCTCAAGTGAATCCTCGCTGTGTGTGGGCCCCGTTCTCCTCTGTGAAACACTCACACACACTAAGTTAAAAAGCACAAATGAACCCAATGAGCATTTGTTAGCTATTATTAATGGTGACTAAGAGCATTTGTGGGCTGTCTAATGCGATGAATGAATGCATGGTGCACGGTGCCAAACGGCTGTTCGGTAACATGACAAGTGTGCTTTAAAGTCAACATGACATCAAAATTGTAATAGAAGTAACAGTAAATAATAATAGAGCAAATGTGACCATGGAGCACAAAATCAGTCATAAGTATCACAGGTATATTGTAGCAATAGCCAAAAATACATTGTATGGGTCAAAATTATCGATTTTTCTTTTATGCCAAAAATCATTAGGATATTAAGTAAAGATCATGTTCCATGAAGATATTTTGTAAATTTCCTACCGTAAATATATCAAAACTTAATTTTTGATTAGTAATATGCATTGCTAAGGACTTCATTTGGACAACTTTAAAGGCAATTTTCTCAATATTTTGATTTTTTTGCACCCTCAGATTCCAGATTTTCAAATAGTTGTATCTCGGCCAACTATTGTCCTATCCTAACAAACCATGCATCAATGGAAAGCTTATTTAATGTAATCATATGTATCAATTTATAAAAAATTTACCCTTATGACTGGTTTTGTGGTCCAGGGTCACAAATAGAAATTTACTTTCTCAGAACACAACAATGTTCTTAAGGATGATTCATCAGCAAATTTATGTTAAAAAAAAAGATTTTCTTTTTATACTTGCTCTGGCTCTAAAACAAATTTCCTTTGTAGCTGATGTCACCGATGCCACAGACCCCCAAATGTGATGACCCCTTCCTAATATATGACTTTATATAAAAAATATATTGAAAAAAATGGCATGTATATTCAATTTATAACATAAAATTGCAGCAAACACACAGCAATAATATGTAAGTGCTGTGACAAGTCTCAGTTAGCCTAATGCAGTACACGTAGAAAGTCTTTTTTTTTTATGATAAAAAGAAAACAAGTAGATAGAATAGAAAAATAATAGGGACTCTCTGATTGTGTTAGAGGGTCCTTTTTCAATAAAAATAAAACAAGTCAAAAGAATAGAAAAATAATAGAGAATGCTAGTGTTAGAGGCTCTTTCTAAAGAAAACAGTAAATAGTTTCAGCCAATAGCCAAAAAGCTGTTTACATCGTCAAGGTTTTAGTCAATGATTGTAGGTAATGCAACCTTTCTAAAATCTTGCCAATTATTAATGCAGTTCTTTAATGTTGCTGCAATAATAGCAAATAACAGTAGATTGAACTAAGCAGTGCTGGTACATATCACCTACTTTTTTATCATCAGTTCCTGGTGGATAAAATCAAGTCCTGCCCTACTAATTTTTTCTGTCTCGTTGAATATCGTGTTTCACTTAAAAATGCGTCATCTTACAGCAGCAAAAATGGGTTGCAAGTGCCATTTCACGTTGACTTTAATTGTTCCTGGGAAATGCTCCAAAGGTGTTGAAAACTAAAAAAATGAGTTTCCCTCCCCAAGGACCTTTCCACACTGCATTAGCTGCAGAATACCTGTTTCAGCACTTCCTAAGTAAACTAAGCATATTGTGGATTTGCTCGTTTGGTGGCATTTCAGTGTGGAATCACAGCAACCCGGCTGATAGATGGCAGGAAAATGGAGACAGTGTGGAAAATCACAGATAATCCTTAGACCTCCTTGGAATCTAATTAAGATTTTCTCAAGGAAAGGGATGGGATCCCTCTATAAAGTGTCAATAGAGTGTCAGTCACTTTGAGATTTTCTTTTCATGGATTTTTTTCATTTCTCTAGCTTAAAGAGAAGAGTGTGGCGCTAGCAACACCAAGGTTTGGTTGCCAGGGAATGCATGAAGTAAAACAAAAAAAAAGTACATTGAATGCAATGTACATCACTTTGAATGAGTGTCAGCAGATGCATATGTTTCACTTTATCTGTTTTAAGATAAATGCAACAGCATCTTTATATTCAGAAGCTGACTTTTAACTATGGCAAACACAGTGGTTGCAGTCAGCCTGAGGGGGAGTACATTGTCAGTAAATGTTCATTTTTGGGTGAACTATCCCTTTAAGCGAATTTCTCCCGATGAATGTTTTCTCTTTCTCTTCTGGAACACTCACTCAGATGTAATTAACAAAGATTATCGCAAAGCAGCTTGATCCAGCTAACAAGCATTTGAAAATGACGCTCTCAGAGAAATGACTTTCTTCTCAGGCCACTGGATTGACAAGAAATAAAAGTGCATCAAAGCGTCACATATCTCAAAGCGGACTGGAGGTCTTTATGCGGTTTCTGTCCAGCTCTTCTCACATAGCCAGGCATATCTTGTTGAAACATAGTCTGTTCTGGTCACGGCACCTCAAACTCAAGGTCTATCTCATTTCTTAGTGCAGGCCAGGAGCCTTTTAGCCTGAGATGAGAGATGTGGGATAAACACTAACGCTGTTACTGGACTATAAATTCCCTTGACCGGTGAAGTCATGCATGATATCATATGGGGCTTCACTGTGGATTGATTTGGGAAAAACATTTGGTAATGTAAGTAGACACCAGCCTCTCCACTGGGAGTTTTAAATTGCCTTTATGGTAAAATGCAGACTGGGGTAAGTGGTCACACCATTCTCAGAAATGAGTTCTTCATGTATGTCAGAAAATTTCTGATTGGTTAAAAAGTGTGGGCTTGTGTTTATTTCAGATCAAACTATGCTCTATCTATCTATCTATCTATCTATCTATCTATCTATCAGTAACAAATAAACATTGACTATTTCCCTGGATTCAGATTCTAAACTGTAGAAGCATATTCTCCCCACAGCATCAGCAACTTTTACACACAAACCAGAGAGAGAGAGAGAGAGAGGAGGGGTGAGTGAAGGAGAAGACACACTGCGGAGTTCAGCAGAGAAGAGATGTAGAGAGCTGGAGACAGAGACCAAACCGACATCACAGCTGTGAACACACAGGAGCTCATGCACACACGCCGCCTGTGAGTTCAACTCCAAGTCTCTGACACTAAGCAGCTCTGCTGTGGACTTCAACGCTGCATCTGTGATTATTCTGGGCTGGACCCCCTTTGGACTGTGTCTTAACATGCTGGGAGTTCAAAGTGATGCTCTGCTGGTCGGCTTGATGGTTTGGATGGGAATCCTATGGGGAGAGATCTCAACCCAAGGTAATGTTCATTACTGCACTGATTCATTCAGATGCCCTTGTGTCTTTGATGCACTGACACTGCTGTTTAACAGAAAGAGCCCTGGAAACTTTAATAACACACACCTCACTTTTAGCACGATTACGCACAGCCTATTTGATAAAGACTCGTTGCAACACAAGTATTTGAGTTTAGTCGCCCTGATGCGACATGTGAGGTTTACGGACAAGATCATATGAGACAAACATGCCTGTTTTGATTAGTTTGGCTCGTGCATGCGCTGCCAGAATTGTTTTCAAGACAAAAGTGGGGCAGAAATAATGAAGAAACATGCTTATGTGTGGATCTGCTGCATAATAACGCGCGTGGACAAAGAGAAACGCTGCGGGATTCCAACTGAATGTGATTTTATAATATTTCACATCTATAGATGTAATGCATAGACATCGTGCTTAAATCACAGTCAAGAAGGACCCTTTGGACTTGCGCTTTAACTGTAATGAAAGTGCATGGAATGACATGAAAATGCACTGGTTTGTTGTCAGCTAATGCGTGTGTATGTGCGCTTGTCCATTCATAAGCATGCTTCATTTACGCTATTATGAGTTTTTTTTTCGCAAGATTGCTATAAAAATAAATGCTTTCTTTTGTAAATCGTGCGCTCGCATCAGAAACAGGAGCAGTTTGATTTCAGTAAGTGTCACCTCCCCAAAACAGGAGCCCTCACCCTCCCTGACCTGGTGTAATAAATGCAATGCTGTTGCATTATTCATGCAGATGCGTGAACAAGAAGTCAAATGACTGTGTTGGTTCATCCACCCGTGTTTTTCTTCCCCGAGCAGCTCTTTAATCACTTGCTGTGTAAAGTTAGCTCAGTTCCACGCGCGTGGGCAACTCATCTTTAATTGGGACATGCGCGAGTGCATGGGGCTCCTTAACACGATTCTGTCCTCTAGTAAAAAAAATGATGTGTTTATTTTCCGTCAGTTGTGTGCGATTTCAGTAAGTGTCACCTCCCCAAAACTGGAGCCCTCACCCTCCCTGACCTGGTGTAATAAATGCAGTGCTGTTGCATTATTCATGCAGATGCGTGAACAAGAAGTCAAATGACTGTGTTGGTTCATCCACCCGTGTTTTTCTTCCCCGAGCAGCTCTTTAATCACTTGCTGTGTAAAGTTAGCTCAGTTCCACGCGCGTGGGCAACTCATCTTTAATTGGGACATGCGCGAGTGCATGGGGCTCCTTAACACGATTCTGTCCTCTAGTAAAAAAAATGATGTGTTTATTTTCCGTCAGTTGTGTGCGCTGATCTTCTGAAATGAGAAGGAAAAGGCACCTCTCTGCGTTTGGATTATTTCTGTCCAATGTAAATTCATATTCCAGCTCCATTTGACATTTCCAGTTTCCAGGTTAAAGGAACAGCGTTTTCTACACTATAAGCAAGTATAAACAATATAGCCTATATGTTTTTGTTTCTATAGAACAACCTAGGCTATATTAAAAACTCGCGTATGCGAGTTAAACATTGCTTCAAACATAATCACTACAACAATACAATAACGGATATTTTATAATGTCATTAATAGTACAAACTGCTGTTTGTATGTTTTATTAGGCTATATTAGTCGCAGTTATTGTATCATCGACTATCCTTGGTCAAACGTGCGTTATGGTCGCAGACATGGAGGTGCAGCTACAGCTTTATTATTTATTTATTAATTCGAGTGATTTTAAATTAATTTTGATTCAGATTTAACTGAAAGTGGTGATATGTGACTGTTTTGTAATTATTCGTCTATATTCATCGGTTTGACGCATTCAGGTTTTTCGCGCACATGTTATGAACGTCGTAGGCGGGCTTTATTCCGTTGACAGCGTCATCAGCCAATCACAGCGAAGCAGACACACCTACACAGGTACGTTTCGCGTTTTACCGCTCGTATTAACGCCATGTTTAATGATGAGATTGTCGACGCAAAAGAGCTCAATAAATAAGACAAAACCTTCCTCTGAAACTTCATATATAGTATGAATAGTGTTACTTGAGAAACACGAGCGTCATATTTTGTTATTTTTTCATTTATTTTACTTGTAAAGGAAGGCCTACTAGCAAGCACAACTTCCTGTAACCGTGAGCGCATCTTTGCTGATAATGTGAGTGTGTTTGCTACAATCAGTACGTTTTTACATGTAGTTTACATTCCTTTATTTATCATGCTAAATTTGCTAGGTTGTCCAGTTTTAGGCTACATGGCCATTAAGTGAACCCATGAACCACTTCTGGTTGCCCAGTTAATCATGTGACATGAAATCCCATGAAATTTTACTATATAAATAAAGAATTCAGGGCCAGGTGTTGTGGGTTAAACAAAAGATAACTTCCCTTTAACACAGATGGCTATATAGTTTAAAAATGTGTAAAAACATGCAGTAGGCTACTTTCAACCTACAAATCACATCATACCTTAAAAATTACAAAATGAGCTTACGATAGAATTAAAACCACCTCCTTCTCCTGACTGATAACACTACTCTTGCCTGCTGGTTTTTATAGACAGCTCTAATGAAAACACTTAATTAAATAATTACATAAATCAATTAATTCATTAGTAATTATGTCCCCACTGGATGCAACAAATGCCTCGTTTGTAATGGGCAATCTAGTAATCTAGTGATGTCCGGATCGCAAACTAATTGTTCTATTTAACCGGATCTTCTTAGTGAACCGGTCAAACCAGTTCACCAAATCGAACTGAATCGGTTCGTAGGTTTACACGTCACGTTTTGGTAACGATACGGTTCACTTAGAACCTCAACCGAGGTGGTACTGAAAAAAGTACTGGGTACCAGGTACTGTACACAGTGGAAAACCCCCCAAAAGTGAACCGTGCCGTGCCGTAGAAAAGCGCCATAAGTTGAATTGAATGTTGGATAACTGCACAGGCAAGATTTGTAAGTGACTAGTCTCATGTTAATACATATAGGCCTAATATTAAGTCTTGTGGATTCTAATACATATGCTATAAGTCTTGTGGGTATTTTTTATGTTTTCCCTTGCTCCATAGACTTCCATTTTAATGTTCTGTTCCATTTAGTTTAGATTGACAGCTTTAACCATGCATTATTCTGTTGTCAGCACAGAATATGATGTGTAAAGAAACAAAATGGCATTTTAATGGCAAAAAGCATTTGTTTTGCTACTGTACAGTTATTTAAATTCTAGATTTCTACATTAGCTTCCGAGTTGGCTTTTGTTTAATTTACATAGTGGAAAATGTGAATTGAATTAAATGGCATAAGAGCATTACTTTAAACACAATTACAGTGCGTTGTTTGTGTTTACAAATAATGAGTTGAAATTGTCTGGAAATCGACAACATCTGTAACAGTGATTCATTACTTAATATTGAACTGAATTTGTACTGAACCCAGCACTTTCCATAACTAGACGTGTTAGATTACAAAAGTTATCATGTCCCTCGTGTTCACTTTGGATCACGTCCCATAATAATTGAGTTCTCTTTGTTTTGGCACACTCTGTTTGTTAAAAGGAATGAGATCTTAGTTACACTAGCTGTCTTTATTTACTGCCGGTGATATGATAGAGCTCTTCCATGCTATGAAACACATGAGAGTGATTTTTCCTGGTGACTCAAATGAATCTAAATTGTTATATTTTAAAGAAATAATTCTCTCATATCACTATTTGCTCTCTATCATTGTGTTTGGTGTTCCTTCATTCGTAGAAGAATTGTGCTGGTCGCTCTCTTCCATGCAATTACAGTGAATGGGAACTAGGGCTTTCGTGCTTCAAAAGCACCATAAAAGTAGCCATAGGACTCACGCTCTGCTTCCACAGAGGAAAGAAAGTCATACGGGTTAGGAATGAGTAAATGAGTGCGATTTCTCATTTTTGACTGAATGCAGAACTATCGCCTGCAAAGTTTTAAGCAAATTCACAGTAGCTCTCCCAAAAATCAGATCGACTATTCTGGCGGTGCTGTCAGTGTTATTTTCACAGGGCCAGAACTCTCTAGGTGACAGACTGTCTGTTCTGCACCTTCTAAAACTCACTCATCTGGAATTTGTCCTTCTCTTCCCATCACATCACTTCCCGTCTTTCTCCACAGCTCTCCCTAGTTTCTGATACACAAAGCCAAATGAGAATAGAAAGGGCAAGAATGTCCTGCAGGAAATGTCTGATAGGAACTAAAGCAAGTGCGTGAGATGTGCTCTCAGAGGACTACAGGCTTAAATATGTGTCCTTTGCTGTGGATTTATGGAGACCTGAACATTGGGCCATAACGTAAAAAGTGTCTTTTGATTCATTAACATGTAAATAAGGACTCTTATTACACTCTTAAAAATAAAGGTTCCAAAAGGGGGTTTCACAGCGATGTCATAAGAACCCTTTAGGTTCCCCAAAGAACCTTTCAGTGAACAGCTCTTAAAATAACCATTTTTTAAATAATGTAAAGAACCTTTTTTCCACTAGATGGAACCCCATAGAATATAATAAATGCCAATAAAGAATCTTTATTTTTATGAGTGTATGGATAATTATAGACATTTTCTGTTATTGCTTCTTGTTATGTTTTTGTTTAGCAGGCCTCATTACCATGATTTTTTATAAGTAATTAAAGAAAAGTGAATATTTGTATAAGTATCAGCGAGTGGCATAACTACCAGCAGTGCAGATGGGGAAAATTAAAGAATTATTTTAAATTAATATTTGAATGTGACTCAAGATGGCACAGTACAATTTATTAATACTTTATTTGTCTGATACAGTGTTTAAAATGTTACTTACAAATTATTTAATATTATAAAAATGATTAAATTTATTTGTGTAATATAAATATATTAAATAAAAAATACATTATGCATTTCTAAAATTATATTTATATAAATTAAATTAAAATTAATTATTTAATATGATTTTAAGGAATGTTTTAAATCACTTTTTCTAAAATATATATTGGTAAAAAAAAGTCTAAAACTACATACTATACTGATTATTG